TTGCAGTAGTTATATAAATGCCACATAACTTGTAATAAATGACTTCTTTATGTATAGCGTCTTTAATTATTTTTGACTTCCCTACTTAGACACAACCACATAACACTTTAGATCAAATTCTATAGCAGCATTAACATCAAGACCATGACAAATGTCATTCTTGAGCTTTTCATACACTATACAGTTTAACATTTCTCTTGCCATTGTGCAATGCTTTCATCCATTATGAATGATATATATCAGATGATCTATAATATCAGACCACTATAATCATTCTAATACTTAGATGGAACATCTACCACAGAATAATTATTATTAATTATTATTAATTGTTAAATAATTGTTATCTTACAAGCAAGTGTTTGAGAGATCTTCATTGCATTTTTGAACCAGACTAATACCACTACCTCACAGATATCAGGGATTTTACAAATATTTAAACAAAAATATACATAACACAAAGCAAGCAATTTGAATATATTTCTAATCACAATTTGACTTATTCCGACAAGCCAACCCAAAAGAACTGAACTCACTGTGTCATGTCCCTTCAGGATGTAGGCAATCATAGTTCTCCATAACTTCCTGTCTTTTGTAGCTCTCATTAAGGTTTGTCTTTTTGTTATCACTGTAGTGTTAACAATCAGCAAGTTAACAATTTCTCTATAGAGACACTTTCTATAACCAGGTTATAAATTTTGCCTATTGTTCAATCTTTTGAACAAGAGTAGAGGTTTATCCTTTGTTTTCTGTTTAGGATTGGGTTTCCAGTTCCTTGTAAAGTCTACTTTAACTCTATATTCTTAATGTCTGCACCTGAACTCTGAAATTTTATTCACTAATTAAGTCTTGACCTCTTTAAGTCTAGAGTTAGCGGTTATCTTTCCTGTAAAGATCCAAGAACTTAACTTCTTGTCCTTTCTTACACTAATACAACACCACACAGTATCCCTCTACCTTGAGTGGTTCTTGGGCCGTGTATTTGATGAATGTTAGTAAAAGAAATAAAAATTCACTTGACAAAAATGGAACAGATCAGCCAAAATATAAAATTGAAAACAAAAACAGATTAACCCATAAGAAAACAGAAATGTTCATTATTTGTAATTGAGCAATGACAGTTAATAAGTTGAAAATGTTTAATATTTGCACTCATTCTGAACCCAAGCAAGTGATATTTTTGTAGCAATTTGATTGGTTTAAAAGCAATATCTTCACCAGATGAGCAACACACAAAACCTCCAATGCAAATATCTTTACATAATCATGACAACAATGAATGCACTCAATAATATAATTATATCATCTACAGAAAAACGTTATTCTGCACTACATTGACTCAACACATCTCCAATGCAATATTTAATAGAATTAGCATAATTTTATATTGAGATATTTCCAAATCATGACAAAGTTTTGGCTATTGTAGACGACAAAACAAAATTCATTCATTCTTTCTTCTACTTGTTTTTGTTATTGCAGTTCATTTGTTTCCAATGTCACATATAACTTATCAAAAAGTGTCTACATATTTCTTGGTTTCATTCGTTTATCCTTTGCTCTGTTAATCAAACATTATCTTTTAGACACAATAATTATTTCTTTCATATTGAATAATTTGTTTTTTTTTTACATTGGCATATGTAATTAAGTTAATTATAGTTATGTATTCAAGTTAAAAGCTAATTCAGTAATTTGTATTGACTAGAATTCTTGTCTGTTATTCCTATTACATTCTGATGCTCCTAAAGTTTTTCCCAAGAGAAAAAAAATTATGCCCACAGACAAAGAATTTTGACAATGTAAGAATAATTTTACCATTTATTTCCAACTAATTTTGCTCTTTGATTCTTATTCCTGTCTCCAGTTCTTAAAAATATATTTTAAATTTGATAGGTGCAAACTAAAAAAAAAGAAGCAGACTCAGTGTGCAAGGTTCAAATTCTGGTTGAGTTCATTGCATCCATTTTCATATAAATCCCCTTGGAAAGAGTATTAATCAATCTCTTATCTCCCCTCCAGCAATGGTTTAAATAGCGAAGCAAACTCACAATCAGTCTAAGACAGTGGTTTCCAAATGATGCGGTGCACCTCATAGGTGTAGCAGAAGAGGATAGCAGGTGAGGTAGAATGATTGAAAGACAATCAAAGATTTAAAAACAGTTTAAAAAATTCATATGCCAAAAATAAATGATTTCAAAATTTAAAATAATATTATGGATTACTTGTAATTGCATCCATGCTTCCCAGTATAAATAGTTATAAATAATTATTGACTGATTTTATCATTGTGATATTTTTGCAACTATCAAGTATTAAAGATATAGTAACTGGGCTCTGCAAATTGGAGGAGAGAGTTATCAATGATAATGTTCTGACTTTGAATACATGGTTATCTCCCTTTAACCCTCCCTCTCTCTCTCATTTATTTTTCAATGTACATTTTATTGCATAAAATTTGGTGATGCATGAGAAAGTTTTCACTCCAAAATGCATCAGGGAGAAAAAAGTTTGGGAATCACTCTGAATTCAATTCTGGTTGTGCAACTCCACTCCAATAAAAAAAAAAAAACCTACTTGTTATTAAAATCACAGCAGCCATGCCTAGCATGGTGAGACTGTGGCTTTATACTCCAAAGAGAAGTGGTATAAGGAAGAGAAGGGGTAGGAGACTGTAACTGCACTAATCCCTGATGAGTATAAAACTCATGCATTAAGATAACCAAAAAGAAAACAACTAGATCATCTAACATTCTCTCTCTATTAATGCAAAAGTCAAATTTTTAACCATCCAAATGGAAGAAGTTGGTTAATTCTGTTCTTAGTCTTTCTTTACCAAGAACTAAGTGAACTTTTAGTATCATGGAAAAAAAAAAAACATTGGAATACATTCAGGTATTTAAATCCAGTTTTGTATTACCCCTATCATAGCTCTGGCTACTCTGTCCACTTGACCTAGGAAGACATGTCAACCTTGGCCTTTCTTCTTCATGTTGCCTACACACATACTACAAATTAATTTCATTTATTTTCATAATTGCCCTAATGACTTTTTAGTTCTTTCTAAGTTACAAATCAAGTCATAATACACTGTGACCATTTTATACCTTGATATTTTGTAGCAAATCTTAGCTTATTTTTTTCTCAAGGTTTTTAGTATTTTGCAAGACCTGTGGTTGTTAGACTTGCTTCATATAAATCGGCAACTTCTTGTCAAATGCAGGGAGAGAAGAGGAGGAGAAATGCAGACCCATCACCATGGGCACTTGGACGGGCTAAGTATTAAGGTACATTCCCATTTATTTTTGGTTACCAACTGGATACTAGTTGGGTTTTCTTATCCACCCTTCCGGCACTCTTGGCTTTTACAATTTCCAGCATGCTCTTGCCCTCCATTACTTTAGGCCACCACAGATACTTACTTCTGGCATTCTTGGTCTTGCTACTTCCTGCCACCATGGACTCTTACTTCTGGCTACCACAGACCCTTGTTTCTGAAATTCTTATCCTTGCTACTTCATGGTTCCTGCTTCTGGCACCACTTACTTCAACCTAACCCACTTGGTTGACGGTGTAAACAGACCTGCTCAATACAGCCCCAAACTAAGAATGGCAAAATGCAATGCTCTAGGGCTACAGTATCACAGGATGAATATTTGGTTTAATCCAACCATTCCTATCACATCATGAAATGAAGGTTGTGTTACAGATCCTTTCATATGAACATGGGGGTACCCCAAGTCTCTATCCTGGGTCCTATACTGTTTCTGATATTCAGCAGTGATTTCCACAATGTCATCAGTTCCCAGCTAGGTATTTATGCAGATGACACTACCATTTACTCCTGTCTAAGAAGCAAATCTGACAAAGTAAACCCAGCAGTTTCCCTTGGAAAAAACCTCCAATCAGTGATTAACTGGGCAAGAAATGGCTTATAAATTTTAATGCCTCCAAAATTAACGGCTTTTATTTAACCTTCACAAAGAAGGTTTTTTGCCTGGCATCATCATGATGCTAGAAACCAGGAGAGCAACACACTATGCCTTCTTGGCCTCGCGTTTTCCACTGACATGAAGTGGAGCAACTATATTGAATCAACAGCTTCATCTACGACAAGTTGAGACACTGTGCTGTGCTAGAAAATTTTTCTCAACAGAATCCATCTTGCACATTTACAAATCTACCATAATTATTTTTTCATGGTAATTGCTCTAAAAAGATTTTTCACTGGTGCCCCAAATGATTTTAAGCATGCTACTAGTTTGGCAACAAGGTCCCACCCTTTTAATGCTGAAATAGTTAAATGCAACCCTCACTTCTATTCCAACAGTTTCTTTTCACACTTCCCACATGTGGAACTCTCTTCCATTTCACTGCTTCCATGATAACAACAATCTTCAAAAATTTAAATGCAATGTCAATCACAATGTTCTGTTTTCTTGAAACTTACTTATCTGTCATCCTTTCTTCAATCCTCCATATTCACAGTCTTCTTTTTCACTTTCACTCCCTGTAACCCTCTGCATACTAGTGGCATTAGTGCTTTACTCGAGATAAAAAAAAAAAAAAACTAAGTTTTGGATGGTACCTTTTGCTAATCCAGTATTCAAATCAATTATTCTTACATGAATTTGACAGAATTACACCTTCCCATTTCTATAGATTGTTATAGTCTCTCCTTGAATTCAGAATATCATAAATTATACTAATGTTTAACAAGTCAAATACATATGAAACTTTATTAACCAATGAAAATGAAACAACACAAAAATAAAAATACTAGAATTTCTTCTTTTTTCTCCAAACTCTAATGAAGCTTTAACAAAAGTGAAACATGCTAGATAGTTAAATATTTCCTCTTTGGTCTTTAGCTTATCTTGATCCCAAATCATAGATTGTTATGAAATTGAAAGTTGTATATCTCTTTACTAGGCCATTTGGGAAATCAATTGGTGAATTCAGATTGAAAGAGATTAGAATAAAATTTTAGTAATACTCACATCAACTCCCTTCAACCTTTTTGTGAAACAGTTCTCGCCTTCTCGAATTTCTTGGATATTGAACAAAGGAACTGAAAATAAAAGAAAATCATACTTATTATAAAACCCAGGTTGTGTGTGTGTGTGTCTGTACGTTTATATATTGGATGGGATTTCCTACATTTTTCAACAAAACTTCACAGGACTACGTAAAATTACCTTGCAGTTGTTCTGACAGCACCAAAAATTGGAAAAACAATTGTTTTTGCATGAAATCAATTTGAAAACACGATTAAGAGGCATTAATGAAAGGGGGACAACTCATATCAAGTTATACTTATTATAAAAACCCAGGTTGTGTGTGTGTGTGTGTGTGTGTGTGTGTGTGTGTGTTCCTTTATATATGGGATCGGATTTCCCATATTTTTCAACAGATTTCAACAAAACTTCACTTTTTTTTTGGCAGGTAGTGTTTCTTATTGTCTTGCACACTTTTTTCTTTATTTTTACATTCAGAATGCTTAATAATTCCATTTACAAGACAATTGTTTATAATAAAATTCTATTCAATCGGTAGACTCATAATGATTGAAAACAATGTTTTTGTTTGAGTTTGGGTTTGGGTTTGACCAATTCGTAAAAAAAAACAAAAAAAAAAACTAATTAAGACATACGTGTCCGTCAACCTTAAACAATAATCTTTGTCAATTTTATTTTTCAGTCTTTATAATGGTCGATACTTGAGCTATCTCTTACTGTTACATCCCCGGGAAACACCGGGCTCTACTGCTAGTAAAAAATAAGTAACAAGAAAAAGTAAACAAGGTATAAGTAAATTATAGTATTTAGTATTATTATTATCTAGGTTCAATAAAAAACCTAAAATTTAAGATGGCTGTTTCCAACCCCACCACTCATGGGACATTTTTGAATGTGCTTGTTGATCCAAATAACCTTCAGTAGATTAAATAAAGAGTTCAGTTTGAAATGCTCTGAAGGTTACCTGAATCAACACATACCTGATGAAAGATGGAGGGTACAACAGCAGAAACTTTTCTGATAACAGCAAGAAAGATGAGGACAATAGTCCAAATGTAAATATATTGTCCTCTAATATAAATGAATTTTGGCAACCAACATGCCTTACCATGAATCAACCCAACACTATGACTTTGATCAATCAACCTACCAACTTACCTTACCAGGTAGTTCAGCTTCAATATCACACAACTGCCAGCTCAAAGACCTCACAGGTGTCAATTTCAACCATAAAGAAGGGCATATGTCAGACCTCACCAATGGCTAATCTGTTACAGATCTATCCCCTGAAGAACCACACATGAACAATTTTTCCCAAATTTCAAACATCTATGTATATATTCTGAATTTTGACAAATATATGCTGTTGAAAATTTTATCCTTGTTTGTTCCTTTCCAACCAAATGCTCATTATAACATGTCCTTACATTGTCCCGGTTTATTTCACTCTTGCATCCTAATGGCTTTATTGCCTTGCTTAGAGTGAAATGATAAAAAAAATCTCAGTAAGGCAAAAAAGAAAAAAAGCCTATGATTTACAGTTTTAAATAGTGACCTATTCATGAACATATGTTGATTAAAAAAAATAAAAATTCATTAACATCTCAAAAAGATTTCTTTATGTGTAAACTTCTGGAATGAGGTGGTACTATTTTTATTTTTCCAACTAGACTGATGTCACAAAAATCATGAGGACATTAGTCTTACTGAGAATAATAAAAACAAAAATACTCCTCATGAGAAAAAAAATTTACCCTGATATTCTTTTCTCTCTCTACAATGACTTTAAAGCATGCATTTTGCATTGGTTTGGTTGTGGAAAAGCTAACAAAATTGTTGGCTAAATATTGATTGTGTTAATAACATAAGGTTTGGTCTTGGTTTTATTATTAATGAATAGCAAAGGATTTTTTTTTTATTCCTATAGAATTCATAAGCAATTCATTCATAATAATCATGTAATCATATGTATGAGAAATGTAGTGAAATATTCCCAAAGGAAAAAATTGCCTAAAACAATACTAAAAGCACTACATTTATTATAGACTGATAGTCACCATTAATAGATCGATGGGTAGTAAGGTATCTGTGAAAGTTGAATTAAAGTTTCTGTATAGGGTTAGCGTAAGAATCATAAGATACAATGTAAGTACGGAAATAGGTATTAGCAGAGTAACAGAGTTTGATTATATCTTCTATGTGCCATGTCTTTTCAGGATGTGGATAATCATGGCCCTCCACAATTTCTTTTGTTATATTACTTTATTGAAAAGAGTTAAACTAGCCTTATTGAATAAAATGTAATGGTAATATTAGCCATTTCCTTATAAGGAAATATTAAGCATTCATTGACAAAGTAGCCAATCAGTTGAAATTTATAAAATTGTTCTCTTTCAACAATTTTTCAAGAAAATAGATTTCTTAAATCTAGTAGCTGTTATTGCTTTTTACAGTGTTGTTGAGAGCTTCCTTATTTTCCTCATGTTTGAAGTCATATGGGGTGATTTTTCAATATAGCTACTGGTTTTTCACATTAACTGAAGGCAAATTTGAGTTTTCAAGATATAGGGATTAACAAATTAACTTTAAAAGCCATAACCCCACTTATATAAATCATGTCTGTTCACACAAGACTAATTAGCTATGTATTCAAGTATACCCAATCAATTTGTTCCTAAAACAGGTTTTTCAACTTGCCTTGAGGGAACAGTTATATAAAAAAAAAAAAAAAAAAAAAAAAAAAAGCTAAACTGAGCACACATTTGTTACAAAGAATATGACCTGATTGGCCTATCCTCCATTTTAAACTAGTATTTAACATAAAAAAAAACTGCAAAAAAGATACTTGATTATTTTCCACAGCCATCTAAATTATTTGGTTACAATTGGATAATAGAATCCATATGGTATATTCCTCTAATAAAAGGTAAAAATTAAAATTGAAGATTAAAAACACATTTTTTATAAGTAACTTGTTAATAAGCAATTCTACTCAAATTTTACTAAATTTTAAGAAGCCCCATTACTAAGATCAACAACCCAACAAGAAAAAGGGAGATAGAAAAGAAAAAAGTAAAATTAAACAAAAATGAAACTAAATACATTATTCTATGTTGTATTCAAGAAATCTACCAACTCATTTAGTTACATTAGTTCCTCTCTATAGGCTATAGAAACCAGTCTGTCCTGCTGGTTGACGGAGAAGAGATAGAGGCATGGTGGAGTAATGGTTAGTGGTTCAGATTTACATGCTAAAACCCTTGGGAAAGATATGAATCTATCTCTTCTCTTAGTTACATTAACAGGTATTTTTATATTTTTTTTAGATCCAATTATAACAAAATTTACACTACCATTTAAGCAACTTGAGTATTAATTCTAATACAAAACAAAAAACCAAACAGTGCTGTTCAAAATCTTAAATTGTTTATAATAAAAAAATAAAAACATATTGGTAAGTTAAATTATTTTTATATTTGACCCTGATTAAATACATTTTTAGCATTTTATCAGTAAATATATTTAACCACACACACACATATAGACACACTCACACACACATATATATATATATATATATATATATATATTTATTTAAAAATATGATTCCAAAACGTGACATAAGTCTCATGTTTCAAAACAAGAGCCGAAAACTTCAATATAATTATTAAAATTAAATTGAGTTAAAATAAGCTCTGTTCCATCTTCAAGCTAAATTTTTTTTTTTTTTTTTGGAATAACGTATATCTGAAATTTACGTGTTTTAAAATTTGAAATCAAAATTTCCATGGTAACAGCTAGGGCAAATTGTTTAAATTGGGTAGGCGAGTGTTGGGTGTTAATAATACTTATTATACTTGTTTTTATCTATAAAAATAATGTATAAATAATCTCTTACACATGTAGTTTTATACAATTTTTTTCTTCTGATATTTTTTTTTATTTCTAATGCAGAAACTTTTCAGGAATATTTCTCAGATCATTGAGAAGATGTAAATATGCAGGCAAATATATTTACCTCAGATTCTTTTTTTTTTTTTTCTAGTTTCTTTTCTTTAAGAGGAAATGTTATTCTGGTTATAGACTTTTGCAATGAGAATTAATTTTGCAATCACAGTGCATATTTTTTTCAAGTTTTGTTAATAATAATAACAATTATTACCTGCTATAATAAATGAAATTCTTTGTCCATTACTGTATAAGCCAGTACCCACATAAACAAGATTAAGTGCCTGCTTAATGACCAAAGTAATTGTGTATTTTTTCAATCATGCCAGCACTATATGCCCCAGTAAAAGTAAAGATTTTAAAATGCTAATTTTCAGTGGAGATAGGCCTACTCCATTGAGAAAATGCAACACCTTTTCCCTATGTGACTGTGTGCCAAATTAATAAAAGCTTAATAAATATATATATATATATATATATATATATATATATATATATATATATATATATATATATATATATATATACACACACAGTGCGATGGGTAAATTGACACCATTTTATATTTTTAATTTCATGCATGAGTATTGTTTGTTTTTGATTTTTGCTGTTGGCACAGTATAATAGGGTCAGTTGGGCACCATCTGGGGGGGGGGGAGCACCATAACACAATTCACACTGCCAGAAATTTGGAAACAGCATACTGTACTGCTTGGCATTTGCGCCAGAAGCTCCAATATGAACATTTCAAAGTATTTGGGTATCAATCTGAGGGCATTATAGAGGATTCAGAAAGAGTTGTGATAAAATAATTTTAATGATTCATATGAAGACCCTGTGTAATAATTGTCATTTAAGAAGCAATTATAAACACACGGTTTTTAAGTCACATTTGCAAAAGGACTGAGCAATGTTGTTTTTTTCTACCACAAAATTTATATCAAATTGCCTCAAGCTGTGAATAACTTCTAATGATGCTATGTTCTTTTTCACCACCAATAGCTAAAAACAGTTTTTAGGTTCTTTGTATTTGAAGTAAAAGCAAAAATATATAAACCAAAATACAGAAAGTACAATTATTGTCAGATGGTTCACTTATAAAATT